GACACTGGCGCAAAGCCTAGCAGGCGTGGCACTTTCTCGACACCACATGGGGTGCGCAGGGGGTGGTCTCTCAGCTCGGACGCTATCCACGACACTGGCGCAAAGCCTAGCAGGCGTGGCACTTTCTCGACACCACCGGGGTGCGCAGGGGGTGGTCTCTCAGCTTCTGCCGCTATCCACGACACTGGCGCAAAGCCTAGCAGGCGTGGCACTTTCTCGACACCACAGGAGGTGCGCAGGGGGTGGTCTCTCAGCTCGGCCGCTATCCACTACACTGGCGCAAAGCCTAGCAGGCGTGGCACTTTCTCGACACCACAGGGGGTGCGCAGGGGGTGGTCTCTCAGCTCGGCCGCTATCCACGACACTGGCGCAAAGCCTAGCAGACGTGGCACTTTCTCGACACCACACGGGGTGCGCAGGGGGTGGTTTTTCAGCTCGGCCGCTATCCACGACACTGGCGCAACAGCCTAGCATGCGTGGCACTTTATCGACACACCACAGGGGGTGCGCAGGGGTTGGTCTCTCAGCTCGGCCGCTATCCACGACACTGGCGCGAAGCCTAGCAGGCGTGGCACTTTCTCGACACCACAGGGGGTGCGCAGGGGGTGGTCTCTCAGCTCGGCCGCTATCCACGACACTGGCGCAAAGCCTAGCAGGCGTGGCACTTTCTCGACACCACAGGGGGTGCGCAGGGGGTGGTCTCTCAGCTCGGCCGCTATCCACGACACTGGCGCAAAGGCTAGCAGGCGCGGCACTTTCGCGACACCACAGGGGGTGCGCAGGGGGTGGTCTCTCGCTCGGCCGCCATCCACGACACTGGCGCAAAGCCTAGCAGGCGCGGCACTTTCTCGACGCCACAGGGGGTGCGCAGGGGGTGGTCTCTCAGCTCGGCCGCTATCCACGACACTGGCGCAAAGGCTAGCAGGCGCGGCACTTTCTCGACACCACAGGGGGTGCGCAGGGGGTGGTCTCTCAGCTCGGCCGCTATCCACGACACTGGCGCAAAGCCAAAGCAGGCGTGGCACGTTCTCGACACTGGCGCAGAGGCTAGCAGGCGTGGCACGTTCTCGGCACCACAGGGGGTGCGCAGGGGGTGGTCTCTCAGCTCGGCCGCTATCCACGACACTGTCGCAAAGGCTAGCAGGCGTGGCACTTTCGCGACACCACAGGGGGTGCGCAGGGGGTGGTCTCTCAGCTCGGCCGCTATCCACGACACTGGCGCAAAGCCTAGCAGGCGTGGCACTTTCTCGACACCACAGGGGGTGGGCAGGGGGTGGTCTCTCAGCTCGGCCGCTATCCACGACACTGGCGCAAAGGCTAGCAGGCGTGGCACTTTCTCGACACCAAAGGGGGTGGGCAGGGGGTGGTCTCTCAGCTCGGCCGCTATCCACGACACTGGCGCAAAGCCTGCAGGCGTGGCACTTTCTCGACACCACAGGGGGTGGGCAGGGGGTGGTCTCTCAGCTCGGCCGCTATCCACGACACTGGCGCAAAGCCTAGCAAGCGTGGCAATCTCTCGACACCAAAAGCAGTGCGCAGGGGGTGGTCTCTCAGCTCGGCCGCTATCCACGACACTGTCGCAAAGCCTAGCAGGCGTGGCAGTTTCTCGACACCACAGGGGGTGCGCAGGGGGTGGTCTCTCACCGCGGTCCCTATCCACGACGCTGTCGCAGAACCTAGCAGGCGTGGCACTTTCGCGACACCACAGGGGGTGCGCAGGGGGTGGTCTCTCAGCTCGGCCGCTATCCACGACACTGGCGCAAAGCCTAGCAGGCGTGACACTTTCTCGACACCAAAGGGGGTGGGCAGGGGGTGGTCTCTCAGCTCGGCCGCTATCCACGACACGCAAAGCTAGCTGACACTGCGAGGGGGTGGTCTCTCACCGCGGTCCCGACGCCTAGCAGGCGTGGCAACACACAGGGGGTGCGCAGGGGGTGGTCTCTCAGCTCGGCCGCTATCCACGACACTGTTGCAAAGCCTAGCAGGCGTGGCACTTTCTCGACACCACAGGGGGTGCGCAGGGGGTGGTCTCTCAGCTCGGTCGCTACCCACGACACTGTCGCAAAGCCTAGTGGCGTGGCACTTTCTCGACACCACAGGGGGTGCGCAGGGGGTGGTCTCTCAGTTCGGCCGCTATCCACGACACTGGCGCAAAGGCCTAGCAGGCGTGGCACTTTCTCGACACCACAGGGGGTGCGCAGGGGGTGGTCTCTCAGCTCGGCCGCTATCCACGACACTGGCGCAAAGCCTAGCAGGCGTGGCACTTTCTCGACACCACAGGGGGTGCGCAGGGGGTGGTCTCTCAGCTCGGCCGCTATCCACGACACTGGCGCAAAGGCTAGCAGGCGTGGCACACACCACGGGGAACAGGGGGTGGTCTCTCAGCTCGGCCGCTATCCACGACACTGGCGCAAAGCCAGCAGGCGTGACACTTTCTCGACACCACAGGGGGTGCGTAGGGGGTGGTCTCTCACCGCGGCCCCTATCCACGACAGTGGCGCAAAGGCTAGCAGGCGTGGCACTTTCTCGACACCACAGGGGGTGCGCAGGGGGTGGTCTCTCAGCTCGGCCGCTATCCACGACACTGTCGCAAAGCCTAGCAGGCGTGGCACTTTCTCGACACCAAAGGGGGTGCGCAGGGGGTGGTCTCTCAGCTCGGCCGCTATCCACGACACTGGCGCAAAGCCTAGCAGGCGTGGCACTTTCTCGACACCACAGGGGGTGCGCAGGGGGTGGTCTCTCAGCTCGGCCGCTATCCACGACACTGGCGCAAAGCCTAGCAGGCGTGGCACTTTCTCGACACCACAGGGGGTGCGCAGGGGGTGGTCTCTCAGCTCGGCCGCTATCCACGACACTGGCGCAAAGCCTAGCAGGCGTGGCACTTTCTCGACACCACAGGGGGTGCGCAGGGGGTGGTCTCTCAGCTCGGCCGCTATCCACGACGGGCCCCTAGCAGGAACATTCGCGACGAGGGCTCGAACGCAGGATTGTGCATATATATATATATATATATATATATATATATATATATATTATCATATACATAACAAACACATAAGATTTAAATTAAGTATGTGGGGTTCCTCGGTAGCGTATTTTTGGTTGTAGTATTGCTGCAAGTGCAGAATTTCTGACAACGAATATGCGTAGCCCGAGTAGCATCACTGATAGCAGAACCTTGCTCTTTCCATCGCACAAGCAGCAAACATCTAGAGCAAAGAAATAATGCCTGCCAGCGGCCTTTGTGATTTGCTACGGGCCAGTGACACGGGGCACCAGTGACGCTCCCCTGCCTGGTGATCGGGGTCCGCGCTAGGGCCATACGTCCGAGCTCGGGCCGGCCACGAACGAGCTGTCGAGCCTGGGTTAGCGCAGGAAAGGGAGGGCTGATCGGCTCCACACGGCTCCCAAACCCAAGTCAGCCAGGACACATCCGAGGTGATTGGCCGACCCCCGCTGACCCCGTACGTGCACTCCGAGACCGTGCCGTGGGCTGGTCCCGGCCTTGCTCGAGGGGGCGATGCCACCTCGAACGCTCTGCCGCTCCCGAATCCCTCGCACGAAAAAAGGAGGAGGAGGAACAAGAAAAGGCGGAGGGCCAGGACAGCAGCAGGTGGAACGAGGGACGAAACAACAAGTAAGAGCGGAGGGCGGAGCAGGGAAGACGAGGCAATAGTACAGGAGAACACCTGGAGGCAGGAATCGTAAGGACGACATAATGACGGACTCATGTGTCCGCCTATGATGAACCTGCCAATTCCCGGTTGGGTACCCGTGGAACCAAGCAACTCCCCAGCTCAGGGTAACATCGCCCACTCGGCTCTTTGCGCGCGCGCGCCCTGGGGCTCCGGGGTCGCAAGGCGAACTAGTAACGGCACAAGACAACTGGGAAGAAAAAGGGAGGGAACGGAGGGGGAAGAACTGTTCTCCTCCTTTTCCTGTTCCCCCCCATCCTCCTTCCTCCTCGCCTCCACCCCGCCTCTTCTCCTCCTCCCCCTCCTCCTCCTCCTCCCCCGCGTCCTGATCCTCCGCCTCTTCCTCCTCCTCCTCCTCCTCGTTCTCCTCCTCCTCCTCCTCCTCCTCCTCCTCCATTCCTGCTCCTTTCAAATAACTGTTTCCTGTCGCACCCCGAGGCCACTTTTAGGGCGGGCCGGGCGTTTTGCTTGAGATATCCTCACTATTCATGACTCTGAGACTTCAAAGATGACGACAGCTTCACAGATCAGATGGAGGGCGGGCGCTTTTCAAAAAAATGGTTTTCGCCTTAGCGCCGAGCGCATTTGTTTTAAACATGTGGCAGAGCTTCACGGATTCAGGATTACCCGTTTTCAACATGTGGCTCTCGCCTTCGCGCCGCGCACATCCGTTCTAAACAGATGTGCAAGAGTTTCGCGGATTGACGGCAGTTCTTTTTCAAAATGTGGCTCTCGCCTTCGCGCCGCGCACACTCGTGCATCACAATTTCAAGCGTTTCACGGATTCCCACGGTCGGCGTACCAGAAATTGTTGAGGAAGGATTCGAGATTTCACGGGCGCAACAGTTACGTTGATTCGCGGCGTTGAAATCCCAAAAACGGCGTTCTGGCGCGATCCAGGATCGTCACCACGCAACAATCAGGTTGATCCGAGGCGTTGGAACCCCGAGAGCAATGGTTTGGCATGCTTCCGGGTCTTCGAACGGTTGTCTTCCAACGAGGCAAACCCCTCACTGGAAATGAAGCGTTGTATGGGGCCAATGAAGAGGGTGCTTCGAGGGAGGGTGTATTCAAACATCGTTGGTGGCTCTTGGGTTTGCGCTGGTCCCTCCTCCTCCTCCTCTTCCTCCTCGTCCTCATCCTCTTCCTCCTCCTCTTCTACATTTGTTGTTGCTTCTTTCCATCGTCCCTGCCCTTTTCCTGTGTCATCCTCCTCCCTCGCGTCCTCCCTCTTTCCCCCCCCAACCCCCTCTCTGGCTCCATCCCCTTGTTGCCTCCTCCTCCTCCTCCTCCACGCCCGTGGGCCTGGGCGCCCTCGGCCGTGGACTGCCGCACCTGCTCGAGCAAGTTGGTCCACTCGTGCACCCGAAGCTGGGTGATGGCCTCGCGTGGCGCTGAGGGCAAAGATTTGAACCCGATGCCTTGTTGTCGTCGTCGTCGCCGTCGTCGCCGTCCTCCACTGTCTATCTGCACCAGGGCAAGGAACCTGCACAATCCGTGCGTAGAGAGCAGAAGGGGAACGCGGCCACGGCGTCGAACTCCCGCCAACGACCGACGGCGGCACCCGGCAAAACCGTCGACACCCTACAGGACTCGTCCATATATGCCTCCTCCAACTCATCCTCATCATTTTCGTGCTCGCTTCCATGATCTATATATATATATACATATGTATATAGATGTATTTGTGAGAATACAAATATATATGTACATATACACATACATATATACATACATACATACATACATACATACATACATATATACATACATACATGCATACATACATACATGCATACATACATGCATACATACATACATACATGCATACTTACATACATACATACATACATACATGCATACATACATACATACGTGTGTGCATGCATGCGTGCATGTATACATGTATGTACATACATACATACATACATACATACATACATACATACATACATGCATACATACATACATACACACATACATACATACATGTATGCATGTTTACGTCTATATACGCATACATACATACTGTACGAAACGAAGGAATTCAAAAAAAACTCCGAGACCCGCCCACCCAACCCCCAGACCGCCACTACGGCGCCCAGAGGAAGGACAGGAAAACAGGGAACCCGCCGAGCCTCGGGGACGGCGGAGGACGCATAGGGGCGAAGCCTACTCCGAATTCAAAGCTGCGAAGTCACTCAGAAATATTCTTCGTTTCCAAACAAACTACGATATGACCAAAGCCATGATCTGATACTGCAGTGCGTGACGTGCTGCAACGAAAAATCACTCCAACATCCTTCACTTCAGAAAGACAGCATCAAATCTCGAGGCCTCGCCGTGCATGGGAACATCCCGCACCATCCCCTTCAAGGGCGGGGGGGGCGGGCCCGAGAACGCTATGGAGTGACGCGTGCAGCAAGAGCTCATTGGACTGAGCACAATACATGTAAACCGGTTCGTAAAACTCTCCCCTCATCAGAACGCACTAAGCGAGTGAATTCAAAAAAACCTCAGAGACCCGCCCACCCAACCCCCAGACCGCCACTACGGCGCCCAGAGGAAGGACAGGGAAACGGGAAACCCGCTGAGCATCGGGGACGGCGGAGGACGCATAGAAGCGAAGCCTACTCCGAATTCGAAGCTGCGAAGTCACTCAGAAATATTTTTCGTGTTTCGGCAAACTACGATATGACCAAAGCCATGATGTGATACTGCAGTGCGCGACGTGCTGCAACGAAAATCACTCAAACATCTTCAACTTCAGAAAGACAGCATCAAATCTCGAGGCCCCGCCGTGTATGAGCAAACCCCACATCATCTGAAAAGCCAAATAAGGCTATGAATCTGCTGCTTCCCGCTCGCGAAACAAATCACACCACATTCCCCATGGCTTCGAAACTGATCAGAGCCGATGCCCGCCCGCGTACACAAGCCAATCGGCGCGAGCAACAATCCAGCGGCCGAAACGGAAGCACCAGGGTGGGCGAGCGGCGGGGACAAGTACAATCTCTTGCGCAGACAAGGGCTGGCGCAACGCACTCGCATCCACTGCGGTCTCGATAGAGTCCTTCACGCGAGTAGTGATGCGCTCAAGCTCAGGGCCGGGAGATGAGCCCATCAAGGCCCATAGCGGATTGGCCCACTGCAATTCAAATTCAAGATGTGCAAAGCAGCGACGGATGGCCAGGATCTCCTGCTCTACTAGCATTACCTCCCAGCCCCAAATGAAGAAACTCTCGGTCAGATTGAACTGGGCTGAGATTCTGGCCGACACTGGCGCTCTCGCCGGAACTCCGCGCATGGCCGGCCACAACTCATCCGCCAACTCCACGGGGGCTCCCGCTAGACCGCGCACCAGCTCAGCCATCGTGTCCGGGCTGGAGCTGGCACCGACGACGACGACGACGACGAAGCGGCCGCCCGAGACGTTCAGGCGGCAACCGAGCAGGTCGATGCCTGACCGCGCTTCGTCAAGGAAAGTAGCTGGGTTATGTGCAACTGGCAGAACCACTCCACTGACGCCAGGGCTAGGTTCCTGGCCGCCAAGGCAACCGCCGCGTCCTCCACCAGTCTGGCCGCAACGTCGGCCCCTCTGGAAGTATCCAGGAACAGGCTCGCAAGGATGATAACCGAGAGCGTCGCTAGGACGATGGGCGGGGGGGAAAAAGGACCAAGGCCCGGTCTCACCCACTTGCATGACCTGCAATCGCCTTGTGCTTGCTGCTTCTGGCCGCCCCCCCTGCTGTGGGCACCGCCACTTGCGGCGTGAAGTAGGATCCGCCCGGGTTGGCCTGCCCTGCCGCTTCCGCTGGCACTGCTGACAATGTCGTCGGCGGCAGCGGCGTGCCCGGGGGCGCGACCGATGGCGGGGTGAACAGTATGAGCGGCCCTGGTGGCGCGGCTGCTCTGGACGCCGTCGACGGCGCTGGCGACTGAAGCGGCGCCCAACTCCCTGGAGTGCCAGGCGTCGTCGGCAACGGCTGTGCACTTTGCGTCGTGTCGGTACTGGCTGCAGGAATCCGCCACTGCCCTGTGGCCTCGTCCATGACCGCGCCCTTGGGCGCCACGTTGTGGAACTGAGATGGCGCCGAACGCCGAGCCCGGAAAGTGCTGGGCCCAGCCCCTCTTGAGCCAGTGCAGCTGATGTGGGAAGCCCTTCGCGCTGAGGTCAGGATATGGCTGGCCCGCGCAATGTCCAAGTATATTCCCAGGCTCGCATCCGACCCCCCCCACACACACACACACACACACACACACACACACACACACACACACACACACACACACACACACACACACACACACACACACACACAAGCACACACAAGCACACACACACACACACACGCACACACACACACGCACACACGCACACACGCACACACGCACACACGCACACACGCACACGCACACGCACACGCACACGCACGCACACGCGCACTTCTTCAAAGGAAAGACCCTCGGCGAGACTATCACTGGCCCGCCCGGCCCTGGGGCTGCGAGGCCCCCGCCCCGCTGACAGGCCCAGCGAGGCCTCCATCTCCTTCATCAGCTTGCGATAGCGAGCCAACTTATAGGGGAACAGCGGGGTGCCAGCCGGGGTCGCCCTCGCGATAGCCTCAAGTGCATTCATGATGTCCCGGCCCTCCTGGTATACGCGGGCAACCTGGCGCCTCTGGAGCTTTGTCCCGGCGCGAGGAGCCAGCGCAATAGACGCGCGCGCATCATGAACACCCCCTCCTAGATCACGGAGAAAGATCACATCTTCAGGCAGTATCCCCAAGAGCTCCGAGGCCCGAAGACCCGCGTGGCACTGAAGTGCGATGCCGAAGCCCATGCGGGGGTGACCTCTGGAAGCCGGATGACTCCCAAGGAGCTTGCCTGTGCTCTTCCCGAGCGGAGTCGCGCGCTTTTGCTCGGCATTCCGCCCCCAACCCTCAATCGCTGCTCGGCTGCAGACACGACGTTGATAAGCTTTGGTGGCGTGAGGAGACGCGTGCTGATCGTTATTGAACTCAACCAAAAGATCGCCCCATTGGCCAAGGCCACTGGGGCGCATGCCGCGCAGCAACGCCCAGGTCGAAAGCGCGAGCGCAGCGGCGCGGTGGTTCTCGAAAATCTTCGCGGCGGCTCTAGCAGCTCGGTTAGGGCCCGGCCGTCGCGGCCCCATCCGACTCCAGCTGCGCAGAGCGCGATAGGGAGGACGGGTGGGCGCTGGGTAGGAATCAATGACTCCAGAATTTTGACAAACCGAAAAGTTTTCCCAACAAAAAATTACCCAGTGACGTACCCAACCCATTTGTATCAATGGAAACGAGGAGTTGGCCGAAACTTGCATGGACAATCAACTTGATGTGTAAGCTACTTGGGACACGCGCCTATGGCATGATGCGCAGGAGAACCATGCAAGAACGAGGGGCGACAGCTACAGGCTCGAAGAGGACATGGGGAGTCGGGAACGCAGAGCAAGAGAAAAACGCGCGGGAAGCCGAACCATCAGCACGGCAGCAGCAGAGGGAAGTGACTGCAGGAGGAGACCAAGGACGAAAGCGGCGTCTAATCCCACCAGCCCTTTGGGCGTGAGTGGTTTAGAGAGCTCTCTCTGTTCTCAACCCCCCTTCTTCCCCTTCGGGGAGGGGTTTACCCCTCCCCCTACCCCCTCCCCTGGGCCTGGAGAGGTCCCACCGCGGGTGGTCAGGGGAGTCCTTTTCGACTCCTGGGAGGGCTAAAAAACGACACCCCCTCACGAGGATTCTGGCCCCGACGGGGGGAGGGAGAAAAAACCCTCTCCTCTTCTTTGAAGCCAAACTCATTAATTTTACTACGGTGTTGGCCCCATTTTGGCCTTCTGAGGGGGCAGCGCTCATTAAAGCCACCCTTTTCCTTCAAGGCAAAACCATTGATTTTACAAAGGTTTTGGCCTCATTTTGCCCTTCTGAGGGGGCAGCGCTCGTTCAAGCCCCCCTCTTCATTGATCGACTTCCTCCAAGATGGCCCCAAGAAGCGCCCAGGAGGCACACTGAGGCCCCAATATGGCCCCAAGATGCCCCCAGGAGGCCCCAAGAGGCCTCCAAGAGGCCCCCAAGATGCCCCCAAGAGGCCCCCAAGAGGCCCGAAGAGGCTCCCCCAAGGCACCCAAGACGCTCCTGGAAGCCCCTAGGGCCGCCAAGAGGCCCCCAAGACGCCCCAAACGGCCTCCAAGAGGCTCCCAAGAGGCCCGAAGAGGCTCCCCCAAGGCACCCACGACGCTCCTAGAAGCCCCTGGGGCCGCCAAGAGGCCCCCAAGACGCCCCAAAAGGAGACGAGGTGCCCGAACGCCTCGCGCCACGAGGAGCCCGAACGACTCACACCAGGACGAGGGGCCCGAACGACTCACA